ACAACAGCAAAAATTACAGATGCTTGGCAGCTGAGGGAAAGTAATGACCCCAGTGTTACTCATGCAGTGTTTCTTTCAACTAAAAAACCTCCTAGAGGTGTATGAAAAGAAGTTAGCAACAGCTTCATCCATGTTAAGTAGCCATTTGTTGGGATCTGTGGCTTTTAGTATGTTGAGCTCATTTAGGCTAGAATCCTAAGTACACTTACTAGGCATACACTGTACAACTTCCTTCTGAGTGAACAAGTATAGAATTGTGCTAGTAGAAACCCAAACATTTGGATATACAGTATTTTATTAACTTTTACTGAAATCTAAAGTACCTAAAGTAGCCTCAATCAACCCTTAAGTAAAACATACAGATTATCTCTTTATAAGCAGATACTAGAGGTGTCCAGCAGATCAAGTTAGGGAAGAACTTTCATCTTCTGTTTATATCCCTTTATACAGACCTTTGAGGTAAGTTATGTTTCCAAAATGCAGGACTGTTCCCCACTGTTAAGTTTGCTGTTCAACAGACATTCAACAATTACAGACAATTCTGACTTCCTCATGTCTCTATCCATATTATTATTTAGCAGTCTGCAAGCAGGAGTTATGTTGAAGTGTATGCTTGGGTATAGAAATGTTAGACAGTTAGGTGTACGTTTTTAAAAATTGTAGGTATGTAGCTTTAAAAAAATGGTGCAATGATCGCCTCCAGAGCTCAAAACACATGAAATAGGGGTGTATGCATTTCCTATAGACACAATTAGGGACACGGACATCACTGATAAAAGGAGACTTGAATTGCTGTACACCCAGTCATTTGCATCTGACTTCACACTGAGTTATTGACAGAGTTGCGGTATTACCAGCTAACCAAGATAGCTTCCCTGAGAGATGAAGACACCAAGCAATAAAGCAGTGTTGATAGCAGAATAGTCGTATTATTTACAGAATATATACATACATGTACAGCTTAGTTCTTGTTTCCAGTCCTAAAGTCATACACAGCAGTTTCCACAGAGTTCAATGCATAAATCAGAGTCAAAGTCCTTATAAATTAGTTCAGCAGTCAAATACCAAATGTTCAGTCCAGTAGCCAGAGTTCTTCTTCCAATATACAGCACGAAGACATGGCTTCTTCCAGGATACTCCAGCACAGTAAGACAACGACAGCACTCCACAACAACACCAACCCACAGAGTGTGTGTGGTAGGTCTGCTAGTTTTAATCCTGGGATTTCTTCCTCAGCTGTTACAATTAATTCAGCTGTATAAATTCTAGCCTTACTTCTTTCTACAGCACTGATTCTAACAAACACTTATTTCATTGTACAAAATTGTATTCAACAATTCCTCCAGGTTTATCTTAAACCTGTCAATTATGGTTGTAAAAGTATTATTATATTGTTATCCAATAGACAATCCTCAACTGATTTTAGCAGCCATGGACTGAATTGTTTGTTAATATATACCCCATTCTTATGCAGGCCTAGTAACTGCCCAAGCACTTAAAAATTTGATACAAAGTCATAGAAATGCTCATTGCAGAGAGATGCTAATCCTGTTTTGTTTTTTAATGCTGGCTCTCAGATTCCCCAAATACTCTCCAAAGAAGGCTATAGGAAAATCTGAACACAAAATACCTAAGTTACAAACACAGAAGTAGGAATCATTTTCTCTCTCTCTTACCGTAATAAAACATCTTTACAACTAACTTTACCTTACCCATCCACCCCCAAAACCCAAGAAGAGAGTGATAAGGTTACACAGGCTGAACAGTGTGTATGTGGCTGTCTTTTGAGTGGTTTAGGTTTCCGACTGCAGAGCCAGAGGATGGGACTTATGTCTTCTTGACAGGGGCTGGACTCAATGATCCACAGGGTCCCTTCCAGCTGTGCAATTCTAAGATGATGATGATGATGATGATGATGATGATGATGATGATGACGATTAAGGCAGCAATCACAAACCTATATATTTTGGAACAAGCTGCATTGAAAATATCAGAGGAGGTTTTACTTCGGAGTGGAATTCTATAGGATTAAATTCCTAGTAAGGAAACTTGAATTGGCCAGTTTTGACTCCTTTAATAAGGAAAGTAGATGTGTTTCCCCTCCCCCAGGATATAGAGGATCTTGGCAAGAGCACAGTGTGTTTCCTCATTCCACTTCAATTACTGACTGCAAACTGCCCGCCCACTGTGCAGCTTTCTAGTCCCTTACTGATGACTCCGCCTGACCCTATGAGAGCACTGGGTCAGAAGTACACTGCTATGAGTGCAGGAAGAGATGATTTAATCTTTTCATCCACTTCTTCCCATTTATCAGAAGAAATAAATCACTTCACTGTGTGCCTGCCAAGTGTATGTGGAGGCAATGGAAAAGGGAGCTGGGATTGCCATGCCTCTCTGAGATTTGCCTCTTTGGAAATCATTTCCTGGCACGTGTTCTCAGCTTTGCTCTCTGCCACCAGGCTATCAC